GAGAGAGAGAGAGAGGAACAAAACTATGTCGAACAATAATCGGGCGGGAATGAGAATTGAGAGGGGGTTTTGGGTTTAAGGGAATAGAGAAAGCGGGAGACGGGACGCTGCGATGCTTAGCTATTACTGATGGCGCGGGAACTGAGAGAAAAAATAACCGTGCACCAATTGATGTTCGAGGAATCGAAGCGGCCTCCGAAACCGGCCAAACAGCATGTCGACTAACCTGTAAACCGGCCGGTTCAAACTCGCTCAATGTCTTGATAGTTCAAAAAATGTTTAAAATATAACAAAATATATTTAAAATATGATTAAACAAAACACATTTAATTGAAATTGAAAAATGATGAAAAAATAAATAAATTTAAAAAAAACCAGTCCGATCCCTTTTTTACTAGATCCATAACAGGCTAAGCGATACTCGATCCAAATCACCTAATTCCGAATTGAATCACCGATTTTTAAAACACTGCTTTTATGTATCATTTTTCACAAATGACTTAAAAACATGCAAAGTTTAAAAGGGATTTTATGTCAGGAGAGCGTTCGGTCTTAATCACTCCTAGACATCTAAGTACATCATGAAGTTCAAAACTTTTTTTCTTTTTACAAGAGTAATGAATATTATTACAAATAAAAATGATTACAACAACGTTAAAGTAACAAACTAGATACAAATTGCGAATCCAATGATACTCCTTTCTTGATTAAATCATCGGCAATAGAATTTGCTTCTGTATAGACGTGATGAAAGGCAATAGTTACATCTGAATATAACTCAATCACTTTGCCAATGAGGTCTTGGCAAACTTTTAGAACAAGTAATTACATTATGAGAGTCTTCTTTAATGATCAGATTATTTGTCATACCTCTCTCCCTGTAGATCAGCAAACTTTGTAGCAAATATTCCAATTCCGCATGATTAGCAGTAACCTCCCCACAAGGCCATACAGAACAAAATACTATATGACCTTCGTGATTGTGACAAACACCCCCAACTCACGAAGGATCAAGATTACCAAAAGAAGAGCTATCAAAGTTTAGTTTCATACAGTCCATTGATGGTGGAATCCAAACACACCTTGGCCTCACCTTAACGGATATTTGCAAAACCAATTTTATCAAAGTTTTGTTCAACATCGCTCCTAAAGTCCCCAAACCTGCCTTTGAGATGCTAAACCAACTCCATACACAAAAATTAATTTTGCTTTTTAATTCATCCATACACAATCCTATAGTCATACCATCAAAGGTACGCCTATTTCTTTCGAGCCATAATTCCCATAAAAGAGCACCCCTCAAAATATCCCATAGTAAATTGTATGTCTTGGGAAGCCCAGGAATCTTCAGATGACTCATTAAGAAATTAGCAGAGGAAGGAATAAGTAAAGGTACTCTTATTTTCCGAATCACCCAACAACATAAAATGACAGGTATAACTTATAAGGGTCATGTAAAAATAGATAATCCACAATTTCCTCATCTTGTTTGTAAAAAAGACAGATATTGATGATAATATTTCCTCTTTTTCTTAAATTATTAATCATTAATATTTTATTTTGTGGCAAAATCCATATAAAAACTTGTACCTTATGGGGTATACGTCATTTCCAGATGTGGTCATGGAATAATAAAGTTCAAAACTTTTTTACAAATTTTAGTCAATAACACATTAACAACTACTCAATTTAAAATATAGTGAAAAGGAACCATTGTGACCTCCTTGTACTAATAGATAAAAATAGACCGCGTGGAGTACCGCTAGAGATAGATAATTTAATCAATTGACCCACTATGCAATGGCTTTTTAAATTAAGATATAGAAATGATGAAATGATAATTAGTGGATCTCTTAATATTGTTTTGATAAATTTCCCTTTTTATAAAAGAAGGGGTTAGTTTTTCCTACCCCTTTCATCGGACCCCGAACACAATTAGGAGTTTGTTTGATGCTTTGGTGAAAATTACTAAAAAACTTATTTAATGAAGAGAGAATAATATGCTTCCTTGGCTTGAGAGAGAGAGATTGGTAGGAAGATAAGGGATTATCGATAAAGAGATCATTTATTTTTATTACAAGGAGGTCACAATTATTCCCACTCCAAATATGTCAAATTTGATGGCTTGAGATAAGTCACGAAGTCTAAAAAAAAAAATTTATATATTTTTGTGTCTACAATAACACTCTTACAACCATCCATTTAGAAATCTATAGGATATGAATGATTGTAACCTCCTTGTACAGCAGATAAATAGTCTCTTTGTAGATAATACCACAAGACAATGAGCCAAAGAAAACAAAATAAGATTAGAAAAGTATACTAAAACACTAATAATACTAATGGCCGCATAGAAGTTCCCTCAGGTCCATATGACCGAGTATTTTACAATGCTTAAGAAAATAGAAAACTCATAGCCTCATGGTCCATAGACTTTAATGGAGACTGAACCAGAGATAATGCTATCCATGTCTTAAAGATTATAAGCATTATATTGGAAACATAATTTGTATATTTATCCATTTTATGCTAAATGCATCATAAAAAATATCAAATTTTTATCTAACCAACAAGAGATCATTCATCATAGTTAATGCATCCAAACATGGCCTAAGAAAGCAACTTCCTCGCTCTAATTATTGAACTACCAAGGTGACACGCATGTTGGGATGTGACACCCTCTCATCTTTGTGGAAATAGAATTTTTTTCCAAGGGAGAGGTTTTATAAGGTGCTCACTTTATACTATACGAGTAAGGAGGATCTTTAAATTTTGCCGAGAGTTAGTAATTCTGATGTCGAAAATCGGCTTGAATCGATGTTCAACCCTAATTATAAAATTTTAAATTCAAAAAATTGGTATAGAACAAGCCGATCTATAAAATATTGAGAATTTTGAAAATAGACAACTATGATAACTTATTACAAGATGCATTACTTTTAAGATTTGAAATTATTATATCCACACATATCAAGGTAGAGATGATCAATTTGAAGGTTTTTCAACTCAAGGCACTATTTTTTCTAGATTTTTGATGTGCACTTTACTTCTATGGTATAGGTTGCAATATTATATAAGTTTGTCCCTTTTTTTAACTAGAGCAATTCAAAAATCCAGTAGAAAAGAGTGCCCCAAAGTTGGAAAAATCTTCTAATTCATCATCTTAACCTCGAGATGTATTGATGTAAAAAAAAAAAAAGAGGTCTTAAACAACATATAGTGTAACAAGTCATCTGAACCATCGATTTTCAATATTTGTACGTGTTTATAAATCTGCTCAATCTGTACTATTTGTTGAATTCTAAATTTATAATTAGGAGGGTGCAGTTTGCATACAGATGCATCTGTAGGTATAGAGGTAAGGTGCGCCTTTAAATTTTATCATGGCATATAATTTTGATGTAAATATTCTTAAGATTATCTCAAAATCTATTTTTATATCTAATTATAAAATTTTAAATTTCAATAATGGTTAAAATCAAGTAGATCTATCAACATATGAAAATCTTGAAAATAGACGGTGCAGATAATATGTTGTAAAATGTACTATTTATGAGACTTAAAATCTTTTTATTTTTCATTGTCATACATCTCGATGCCAAGATGATCAATCAAGGGGTTTTTCAACATTAAAACTACTTTTTTCGATGGATTCTTGAGAGGCATCCGTAGTTCTACATGATAAGGTAGCATCCTTATATAAACTTTTTCCTAATTATAATCATTTACATAGACTTCGAACATCAGATTTCCGACACCTCGAACTACAAATTTGACAAAATTTAGAGATATGTTATACAAACCTCATCCTTTAATGAGGCCATTGGACGGCCTGTTCTCTGTCCAATCGAGAGAATAAGGCCATGGTCCAAACTCCAAACCCGACATGGCAAAGCAAGGGACCACCAAAATTTCAGAGCCATTTTTGTCTCCGATCTTTTCTAGCGCAGAATGTTACCAATAAATATGCTGCATAACTTTTTGTGCGCCACTTGTTGGACGGTTCACAACTCCTATTTAATACTTCTATCATTCAATCATGACCGTTCATTCAATTGTCGGCTGAAAACAATAATAATTAATGAATATTTCTATCTGATCCCATTTATTAACCTTATTAAATTCCAATATCTCCTCTCAACAGTCCTTATAAATATTTGGGTGGGTCCCACACGTTTTGTTCAGGTGTCATGGCCCCACAATCTACTCTCAAGCGTTGGCGTGCGAAGTGAAGGTCAATTTCGATATTATATTGTTTTTGAAGAGGATTGTTTACATAATTAAGCGAAGATGATTTTACACTTCCGTAGGAGCATACTATCCATTTACTCCTTCCGGTGAACCAGAAAAATTTTAGGATTCGAAGTTCTGGAGAGTAACTTCTTCTACTCATGGACCAATGTCAAATAAAAATTTCAAATTGCACACTATATGTACTCAAAAAAATAACATCGCAAGATTTAATAGAGACTGTCCAATTTTTTTAGCATGACGTCTAGGTGTTACAAAACTTAAAATTTGAATTTTCTCTTTGGAATTAATCATCTTATGATTCATAGTTAAATTCCAAAATTTTAGACTAAAAAGGTCCACAAATAGGTCTTCTGCCCAAAGGAGTAGATGAACAGTATGCTCTAGCGGGAGCACAATGTATACACTAAATAATTGATAGGTAGAAAATTTTCTAATTAATGTTAAGTGGGGTTCTCAGTGGATTTATTAATCATGCAATATTCATTGTTGGGCTTGGCTATTTATGGATGGGTGCAGTTTGTGCATCCAAATGGATAAATATTATTATCGAATATTTGAATGTATTCTGATATATTTTTCATTGAAACTATTCAAATGGCGCTTGGAGCTGTCTTACTTTTGTTTAGTTGAAAAAGGTGCCATCATACTTTCTTTCCATATCAATCTTTTCTATCCCAATGTCTCCATCATAGACTCTCTCAATCTTAATCCCCTTTCTCTCTCTCTCTATACACTGTCTCTGTTTCCTATGCTTTTCCACACATCTCTCCTCTGTTTCATCCCTTGTTTTAGTCATCTTGCTCTCTCTCATCCCTTGCTTTAGTCTCGACTCTTGAAGGACATGCATTATCTCTATTCATCATGTTGTCTTTTGTTCGAACATCTGGTCTATATTCATCATGTTGTCGTATACCCCGCA